GGTATGTTGCCGTCACTTTCGTTACCTGTTGTTTGTCGTCATCTTTGCGCTTTGGGAGCTCGTCCATCACGTACTGAAGAGACTGCGGCAGGACACCGGGGGCTTCGCTCGAGCCACTGATCGTGTAAGTCTTGCCAGAGTTGGTGACTCCGTAGGCGAAGACGAGGCCGCTCTTGCCGTCGAAGGCCGCGTCCAACACGGGCCTCGTGGTGGCCTCGAACAGCTCTGTTTGCTGTGTCTCCTGGCGGAAAATACGGGAGAAGTGGAAGCTTGTGGCTGTGCCGGTGGAGCGATAAGACTGAGACGTCTTGGGCGGCTGAGCTAGAAGCGACACGTCCGACAGCACGCGAAAGCAATCGGGCTCTGTCTCGTTAGTGGCCGCTTCGAGCGGTCGGAGGCGAATAACAATCTGCACCTTATTCGTACTGGTATCCATCTTGATTTCCTGTTGTTGTTGTTCCGGTTCCTGGACTTGGTCGTAGTCTTGCTGCTGCCCCTCTTCTTCCAACTCCTGTTCGTCCATGGTGGCGCCGCTAAAGCTGAGCTTGCGCACGATGGTGGCTACCTCCTCTGTGGCGATCGAAGGCGTGTCGCTGGCTCGAGTGCTGCCGTTGCGTTCGCGGATGACGCGTGCAATCTCCTCTCGAGACGAGGGCATCAAAGTACAGCGAGAAAGTGCGGGAATAATATTCAAAATCTAGTTAATACAGGCCTCTCGTCCCCGATATAGTGCCACGTCAGTGAAATCTTGAGGGAGGGCAACTAAGATGATGCTGCCGAGAGCGTGGACGCTGCTTTTTGTGCTTGCCACGACGGCGCTGCTGGCCACATTCGTCTCCGCTGACCCTCGCGAGGTGGAGAACGCCGAGTACGTTTTCCTGTATCCGTGCAGTCTCTTCTTTCTTAAAACATCTTCGTGGGTGTATATCTGATTGCCCATTCTCTCCAGACTTAAAGAAGAGTTCGGTGACGATTTTGAGGACGAGCGCTCAATCCCCGCGCTGGGCGAGCTTGAGCAGCGGCTCAAGTTCGAGCTAGAGCACCAGCTGGCTGCTGGCGCGCCGTATACGCCGCGCGCCATCGTGGAGATCGTTGGAAGCGCCTCGTCCCCCAAGCCCCAAGTCTCGTTCTCGGCATTGCCGACGCTGAGGGCCGACGACGTCGAGAAGCTGGAAACGCTGCTGCGCCACGATCGCCACTACACTGTTCGTGCCAAGGCGGACCCAACTGACCCACAATCGCCGTACGTCATGACC